GACAATGGTGCAAGCAACTCTTTATTATCCTTTTCATTTTTTGGTTCGACAATGGTACGAGCAATTCTTATCCTCATGGTTTTTTTTATAGAAAGACTGTAAGGGAACCCCTACAATATAATTGGTGCAACAATCCCAAATTGCAAGTACCATGCCTTGAATTTGGGTGGATGGGAAGGCATCAGCCCCTTCCCACCACTAGGCTATGCCTTAGTCTGCATTCTTATCCTCATGGTTGAATTCTTAATACATACTACCTCTGTTTTTAAATATCAGATTTTTTGATAGTTTAAATTGAACTGCCAAAACGAAATCCCGCACAAAAAAAAGAACCGCCGAAACGAGAGGGGCGATTTGGCTCGCAAGCTCATCTACCCCTGCCATGAACAATAAATTCAAAAAATTCTGACTTTTCAATGGTAGATATTTCAGTGCATGAGGTCCGTGCCAAATTTTAGCTCGTTTGGTCATCTGAGTAGCTATCAACAAAAAAGACATTTGGGGCCTCTGAAAGAATGCACTGTTCATGTATTGTTTGGACCCAAAAAAAATTGCTAAGAGCAACTCAGATGTCCAAACAAGCTGAAATTTGACACCGACCTCACGCGCCAAAACATCTTCCATTAAAAAAATCAGAATTTTTTGAAATTTTAAGTGTTTATTTTTTACTATTCATGGAGTGCACATGAGCCCAGGCTCATAAATGGATATCGTGCCAAATGGACTTATATTTAGTAATAGAGGGTGTATACTTAGGGCGCATTTGGTTGGTTGCATCGTGTTTGGAGTCTTTGCATCTGTGACCCAGTTAGGACGGACTCGGTAAATTCAGGCCACGAATCACGTTGTGCATGTAGTTTAACAGCCTGCATGTAGACTGTCTGCATCATCAAGGGAACCAATTTTTCACTGGAGTTTGGTTGCCTGCGTTGGGCTGGGTTGATGCATTATGCGGTGCATTGGGTGCACGCGTGACTTATGTTGTGATCATCCCTTCTCACTAGTGGTGACCGTACCACACATGCCACTTACATATGTAGTTTGAAATAAACATTGTTGCAGTCCTAATTAGTAAACAAATGATAGTCCATAATTAGTAAACAAAATTGCATAACAAATTAGCAATCCTATGACTTAATAGAAAAAAGTTCATCGGTGCCTAACTAGGGGGTAGTCCATATTCTAGTAGTCTCCTGTTGTTGCTTCTTCTTCCTCTGTTGCTGCTTCTTATGTTGCTTCTTCTCAAATTTGACCACACACCATGGACGGAGGTATCATCATCGGCCATCACATCGTCCTCCTCCAGCACAAGCTCATCACAACCCCCTTGTAGGATCCGATTATGGAGGATGCAACATGCAAGAACAAGCTAGCCTAACCTAGGTGGGGAAAGGCTGATATGACTTCTGATCCAGGATCTTAAATATATTCCTCAGAACTCTGAATGCCCTCTCAATCGTAACTCTAAGGGTGAGTATCTAAGATTGAACAATTCATGTGCGGTCCTAGACTCCTAGGCCCTAGCATAGTTCCTAGAAGGGAACTCTTTAGATGGTACCTGGTTTTTTAAGAGTGGACAAACACCAAGCCGACATGTATAGCCAGTATCTCCTTGTTGAACTTGTCATCGAGGATGTTGATACCCCTGTCGAGCCATGTTGTTAGTAAGAATGTTAGTATCATATGCTTATCCTTCGCCAGCTAACATACATGTGAACTTCAGATCAAAGTCAACAGCAGCAAGCACATTATGCCTTGTAGTGATTTCTACCCTTGTATGCTGCAAAAAGAGCCCTTGACACTCTAGCAGTCACATTAGTACCATCTATTGCGCCAACGCAATCCGATAATGGCATGAAAACATGATGTTATGGCTATATCGGAACAATACAACGATGTCAAGGCATGAACTACGAGTAGTGCTCACCTTGAAATACGGAAACCGTCTTGGGTTGTTGCGAATCTTGCTAGGAGTTTGCCCTGTTGGTGCCTTGATCATCTCTCCTTTGAGCTCCCCAATAGCATAAAAGACTTTCTTGAAACACCTGGAAATGGTCTCTACTGATCTCCTGAATGTGTTGTGAATAACCTTAAACTTCTGATTATGACCTACAACATGGGGGAACATGGCAACTTGCTCTTCCACAGAGGTATGGATGTTATCTTATAGCGCCTCCCCCCTATTTCTGAACGGCTCCACAAGCTTGGCAAAAGGTGCTCTTCACACACGAAGCATCCACAGAGCCTCTACATCATGGCGGTTCTAGATGTAGTTCGGATTAGCCATCCTCTCCCCATCTCGGATTAACATTGGACCATAACGAAGGACAGTCTTATCAGTCAGACGAACGACTCCCTTATGGATCAACATGACCTAGGACTGAATCTCCTGAACAACCAGTTTTGTTTGTTTGTCCATAACCTAGGTGACATCGATGATGCGATGAGCAGTGGAAAAATCGATACTACACCATACTTAACAGCCTAACAAATGGCCTAAAAAGGAGAGGGGTTGATAGTTGGAGCCGATGACCCGCCCATGGCATAGATGAGGAGGACGAGATGGAGCCAGAGACGAATGGGAGAAGCAGGTCCTGCTGCCGGAGATTGAAGTCGTTGCCGCCGCTTTCGCAGATATGAGTCACCGCCGCCCACCAAGACAAGAACTGAGGCTCGGTTTATCCTAGCACTAGACATGAGCGAGTAAATGGGGGCCACTACTGGACTTTGTGCCATCCAACGCCAATCGATTTCCTTCTCCCGCCATCTTCACCCATATTTTCCCTGCACCAGCGTGTATGCCGTGCCCCACTTGTACGCCCGACTCAGCCCGACTCACTGGAAATGACCAATTCGAGTGTTCCTGGCAAGCCAGGCTCTGGGTTGCTTTAAGGTTTGTGTGCGTGCCAGTCAGACTTCCATGCATGCTACCAAACAGGGTTCCAGTGGGCCTCCTTGGGGTGATGCAGGCAACCAACACGCCCTTAGGGCATCTCCAATGCTTACCCTCAAACCGCCCGCAAACCATCTGGGTCGCACGGTCCAGACGTGTTTTGCCATCCATCGCGCTCATGTATCGGTTCCGCTCGACGGTCCGGATGACATTTTTCTCACAAACCAGAAGCAAACCGGGGGGGGCTTTACTGGCATCCGGACCACTACCGTGCTGGCTTTCGACAACCCTTGCCCACCCAAAAACCCCTCCCGCCTCTCCTACTATTCCCATCCAACGCATGTATCGCTTCCCACGCCACATTCATGTCGGCCCAGAGCACGTAGTGACTAGCATTGAAGTTGCGCGATGCTACCGGACGGAATGGCAATGCTGACCAATGCAAGCTCTCGGGTGTCGTCGCTTAAATGCGGATGTCGCATCTCGAGAAACTAACCCTGGCCGTTGTGCCTCATTGAAGCGGGCATATCGTCCCTTCGCATGGCATGTTCATGGCTATATATGCCGTGTTCCAACGATGCACATTCACACCTCCTCCTCTCCGGGCCCCTCCTCCTTCCTGAGCCTTTCCAACTCCGGCAATGCCAAAAAATCTTGGTTCTCCGCGACGGTAGGTGGCGACGGCAATGGATCTTCGTCAGGCTCACGGCGTCGCCGTCCTCGCTCTTTGGTTCCCTTGACCCCCATGGCGGATGGCTCCTTTGGCGAGGAGGAGATCATCATATCCTCCGGCGGCGAGGAGGACCAGGCACCGCCATCGCAGCAGCTGCACCTCCTCGTGGAGGCCACTCTGATGAACGAGGAATTCGTTCGTCGGATGTAGCTGATGATGGAGCGGTCACGTCGCGAGCGTGGCCCCACACTGCCCTCGCCGCTGCGTCTCGTCAAGAAGGAACCGCGATCACCGCCACAACATGAACGAGGAGCCCGTGTGTCTCCTCTCAGACGCGTCAAGGAGGAGCCAACGTACCCCCACGCAACCGCAGCGACGTCCAGATCGTACGTCGCGTCAACGTACCCCCACGCTAAGCGACCACTCCAGAGGGGAGATGTACAGGAGGAAGCTGAGCGGCTCCTCTGCGAGCGCCAGGCTACAAGCTTTAGTTCTTTTTTAGTTTTCAGTTAAACGGCCAAAATATCGGTCGGTTTATGTAAATTATGTCCGAATATGAATGAAATCCGACGTGTTGCAGACTAAGGCATAGCCTAGTGGTGGGAAGGGGCTGATGCCTTCCCACCCACCCAGATTCAAGGCATGGTACTTGCAATTTGGGTTTGTTGCACCAATTATACTGTAAGGGGTTCCCTTACAGCCTTTCTGTCAAAAAACATCCGACGTGTTTGCTGAAATTTGTACCGTTTGTTTAAATCCGGTTTAAATTGTATGCGGCTAATTGTGGATGTCCGGCTTCTGCATCCGAGTCTGTGGACGGATGCCGTGTCTAGTTTGGGATCAGTGTTGGAGACGCCCATAATATATGTTTAGTATATGTTTATGTGTTGCATACTGATAAGGGAATGCATAGATGTGGCGATCTAGTTTGCATGCAAGTCAAGTCAACTTTTGCCTTCCCGTGTCTTGTTGTTGTCCGTACTGCAATATTCTGTGCTACACTTGTGTCAGTATGACGTACTAGATCCCTGGACCCTTGCTCTGCGCACGCGCATAAAATATAAGGTTTCCTTCTTCTAGCTCCTTCCCCGTTGCATCAGCCATAAGCTTGAAGCTATTGTCCTGGAATATGCTACTGTACACACTATCCATCTTTCTCTTCAGCCACCTGCAGATCTTTTAGCACCGTGGATCGAACAACGCATCTTTCGTTGTTTCCCAGTGAGCTTGTGTCTTGGTTGTTTCCCTGGTTGCTGACTGTTTTTCTTGGCTGTTATGCTTTTGCTGGATTCCATTTCTCCGGGTAAAACTAATACTAATTGGTTTTGTGCTGATACCAATGTCTTTGCCCTTCTGTCCTAGGTGTTTTCTTCATCCCTTTCTGCAAAAGACGGAGAAAAAGATTGGGTTTGTTAGTCTTGTGAGTCGGCCTGTATGGGCTGTGCATCGTCAAAGCAGTTCAAACGAGCTCCACGGCATGGGGATGCTGCTCTTCTGGCCAAAGAGACCACATGTAAGAACTTGTAGCTCCTGCTTTTCTTTCTGGTGATTTTTTTCAGTGCAAGAATGAGTCCATGCGTTTCCCCTGTCGTTTAATTTCTACTCCCCCTGTTCCAAAATAGATGATTCAACTTTGTACTAACTTTAGTACAAAGTTGGTACAAAGTTGGATCATCTATTTTGGAACGGAGGGAGTACTAACTAATTTCTTCCCGCATGCACGCAGTTTCTTTGGATGAAGTGAAGGCCCTCTACGAGTTGTTTGAAAAGATTAGCTATTCTATATTCAAGGATGGGCTCATTCACAAGGTATATATCAGGCCTGTTATATCTTCTTTTAACTAGGCTAATCTTCTGGCTGAGGCAGCAAATTCACCATGTGGTTCCTTCTGAAAATTCTTTTTTTTAACAGGAGGAGTTCCAACTTGCTCTCTTTAGGAACAGCAATCGGAAAAACCTTTTCGCCGATCGGGTCAGTTCATAGTTTTTACACTACTCCAATGCTCTAAATAGCTATAATTTTTTCAACAATTTGGATGTACTTTAATTTTGGCATGACGGCGTGTACTGTGTATAGCAAGATGAGCCAGTAGATGGAGCCTGAATATTATTATCTGTGATATCTCATATTGGGTCAACCGTACAACCTGTTAACATGTGTATTCGACTATTGCAGATATTTGATCTGTTTGATATGAAGCGAAATGGTGTGATCGAATTTGACGAGTTTGTTCGGTCCCTCCAATTTTTTCACCCGGATACACCCATGGCAGACAAGATTGCATGTACGAAACCAGCCACCCTTTCTCCCAATGTTCTATTTTTGTGCGGATGTTGTAAGACATGACTAGCATTTCATAAATTCTGGGTGCAATTCAAGTAGCAGTAGCCTATTACTATATACTACTCCCCCCGTTCATAAATATAAATTTCTTTAGAGATTCCACTATAGGGATTACATTCGAATGTATATAGACGCTTTTTAAGTATAAGTTCATTCATTTTGCTCCATATGTAGTCTATAGTGGAATCTCTTAAAAGACTTATATTTAGGAACGGAGGGCATCCGTTCCCAAATATAAGTCTTTCTAGAGATTCCAACAAATGACTACATACGGAGCAAAATGAGTGAATCTACACCTAAAATATGTCTTTATACATCCGTATGTAGTTTATAGTGGAATCTCTAAAAGGACTTATATTTAGGAACGGACGGAGTAGTATATTTGGGAGGACTTCTGTTTATATGTTCTTCTCCTATTTGACATCTGGAGGATTCCTTTTCACAGTTGCATTCAGACTATATGACCTGCGAGGCACCGGCAGCATTGAACGTGAAGAGGTTGGTATTATTTACTTACTGAAGATGAAGACCATAATTCTGCACATAATCCTGTCGACTGAACATACTACTTCGAAGCGTTTTGAACACACTACCACGCACTGCGATTTGCCGATTTAGATGGTTATCCCTTCAGCTCTGTCAGTACATTTTGCTTCATCTATCCATTACTGTATATACTAAAAGCAAAATACGGAGAGAAAGAAAAAGAGAAGTCTGCTAGAGATTCTCACAGAAACCAGAAACATCAGGCCATCGATCTGGTGGACTGTCTTCAATTATTAAATCATAGCCATTAGATGTTTATAAATGTATCTAATTGCATTGTTTGTCAGGGCCCATATTTTAATAGACATCATAGTTACAGTTTTAGAAATGACAAATGATTAAAATTATATTTTCAATGATGCCCTCGCAAAGTTGGAAAAATAACACAAAGAACATTATATGCGCTAAGTATAGCAGGACACACTACCTTTACAATTTCACGGTTCGAGTACTTGCTGAACCTGATCATTTGTGCAGTTGAAGGAGATGGTGCTTGCAATCCTGAATGAGTCAGACCTACTTCTTTCTGACGACGCTGTCGAACAGATGGTTGATCAGGTACGAGTACGCCACATCCAGATGAAATGTTGCCGTGCAACAAGCGTTAACTTGTATCCAACAGACATTCAAAGAGGCAGACCTGAACGGCGACGGGAGGATAGATCCCGACGAGTGGAAAGCATTCACAAGCATGAATCCAGCCTTGCTGAAGTACATGACTCTCCCATACCTAAAGTAAGTAGTGCCCACTGTATTTTCAGCCTTGGAAAACAATGCTGAGATTGAGAAGATGACTTCTTGACTGACATCCAAGCATGCTGTGATGCAGGGACATGACCATGTCGTCGTTCCCCAGCTTTGTTCTCTACTCTGTAACTGGCGATGAAGAGTTGTACTAGGTGCCATCAGCACAGGAATCTGTGGCTCTGACCTCGCAACTCCCAGCCATAAAGCAACCTTCTGAGCTTCTCTCATCCGGCTTGCGTTTTTCTTTTCGTTCACTGTACAAATTTTTGTGTTATAAAACATGGCTTTGCATAGCAGAAACTGTAATAACAGAATGTGCAGTGAGAAATGGCAGACACCAGGTCAACAGCTCGGCAATTCTTTTCTGTCACCGAATGGGCCGATCACTCCTTTTTCGACAAAGGGTGGATTTTATTGACTCAAAATGAAGCATCAAGAGAATATATACAAACACAATGAGCACATGCCTGGCCTCTGCATAGCTAGGATGCACGCAGCTAACACCAACTCACGCACACAAAAACACGTCGGCAAATAACAAAGCCATCCCTCTAATCGTTACATTTGCAACATCTAACAGTTTGGCCATATGGATTCTTCTCGGTGCATTTACAGCCAAATATACTTGCATTTATCCGAACTATCATTATGCAAGTGCAAGCAGCTAATGGAGCAATATTCACCTTCTTCTGGATGGTCTTCTCAAGAGTGCAACATCCGAGATGATATTCTCGGTTTTTTTTTGTTGTTTATTCGTTTGCAAAATTTTCATTGAACTCCTTTGATTATTTCTAAATTATGGAGTTATTCATAATGTCCCTCTGTAATTTTTATTGAATTCATGCTCCAACCAACTCATCCAAAAGTCCGAACTGATGGAGGGAGGTGGGCAATATATTTCAACACTCCCCCTCACGTCTAGACTATTTTAGTCCTTAGACGTGGGATCGATGTAGGCCACAGAATCGTTTTATTTAATACTGCATTGGCAGGGTCTTGAACTCAAGACCTCTTGGCTCTGATACCATATTGAATTCATGCTCCAACCAGTTGCTCCAAAAGTCCGAACTGATGGAGGGAGGTGGGCAATATATTTCAACAATTTTTTGAATCATTGGTGCTTTCTGCTAGGACCTTCGGAAATTTGTGTGGAATTTCGGCTTTTTATTTTTTTTATTTGAAATTACCTGTCGTTGTGAATCAAGTGGCTGGAATTATTCAGTTTCCCCATCTACCTGTCACCAAATGGCAGCAGGGTTTATGTAGATCTTCCCCGTGGTAGGAGGGGATCCCCACCTGCCCCTCAAAATCTGCCGATTGGAGTTTGCCTCAGATGGAACCAAACGAGCCCTGAAAGAGTACTGCAGGCCCTCCCGCGGCACATCACACATGCTGTATGGGGACACATGTGTCTTGCAGAGGGCGGACGCACAATTTTGACTTGCCCAAGGGACAAAACAATGTTAAATTTTGTGTTTGTGTGAATGAACATGACTATGCTAGGAAAGTGGCAATAAACTCAGATACTGATCCAAATGAATGTTTCATTTTGATCTCTAACAATAGTACAAACAGAGACCCATAGAAATATTCTTGCGACACTCACAAAGTTTCAAAGATGGTATACAGATGAGCTCGCAATACATAAAGGCTACCCGACACCGGGTGAACAATAAGTTCTAACTTAAACAGGTTCCTGATGATAAAGTTTCAACATCAAAGTTCAATCCTTTTGTCCACTAGTTCCTGTGCTTCTTTCACGAGGGAAGCGAGACTCCTGAAAGGCTCCGGCGTCATTGCATCGCCACCATCTTCCTTAATGTCAAAAACCATGGAGCCATCAGGAAGAAACATGTCTTTCGAAGCGGTGGACAGTGTATCCATCAAGCTCTCCAGATCCTCTCTGGCATAGCGGCCCTTGTGTTTCATCATTGATATGACCATCTTACATGCAAGCTTCACAATTGTCAGGCAGTCAGGCTTGTGATGCATATTTTTGCTTACAATCTGCTGGAGCTTCATTGGGAAGCTAGATAAACCATCATCCATAGGGATAGTTGATTCAAACTGAGGAGTCAAGTCCTGATCTGCACTGATCAACGTGTCGCATACTGTGACACAAAGGGATAACATGCAAGTCACCCCATACTCGGTCATCTTGTGGTCTTGCTGATTAGAGGAAGACGTGCTGTTGCCCTGGCCATCTTGTGGAACACCAGACTGGTTTTCAAGGTCAGTTTCAGGTTCCGTGAACCTGACTTTCTCAGCTTCTATTACTGCACGTGTTTCTTCTGATGCCCAAAAAACTATCTCTTCAAGCACCTAAAACAACAAGAATATATTCAGTTTATTTTGACTGACTTGATAATTGAAAGCAGGATGGCTTCTATATGTATCCGCTAATACAAAGATTTCAAAGAAACACCATATTTGAGATCAACTGTTGAGGAGAATTAAACAAATGATGGCATCGATTACCTTTGGAACTACATCTCTCATGACTTTCTTTAGCCTTTTGTGACTTGCATCATCATTGGCGTGATGAATACATAGAGATTTCAGGATTTTTGCTGCAGTAAATTGGAAACTACCCTTTTCAAGAATCATTATAGCGAGACTGTTAATGACATTATCATTGGCCATAATGATACTCCTGGCACCCGTTTCAGTTTTGGAGCATAGAGCCATCAACGCACGAGCTGCTGCCAGTCCTCTGTCCTTTTTGTCCTTGTTATCATCAATCATAATGTCTGCCAGCATCTCTATGAATTTTTCTCTGTTTGCATTCTCGAGGATCAAAGATGTATCCATGTATAGGAACCTGAGAACCTCAATAACATGTTTCTGCAGCTTTTATTGCATTGTTCACACTCGAGAATCCTCTCCATGGTGCTGATCGCTTCCTTACTGCTTGAGATTTTGCTGCGCACCTTGGTGCCAGTCTGCCCAGTAGCAGCCACGAGCCAGATAATCACTTTGAGTGAACCCTCTACTATGCTATGCCATGCATCATGATCGATTTGGTGGAGTAGGTCGGAGGTCACAGGCGCCATGATCTTTTGGAGCAGACGTGGGGTGTCGAGCAAGATTCTGCAGTTGTCATCATTGGTTGCGAGCTTCTGAAGGATTCGAAAACCTTGCACCATTAACTCCTTGTAGGCGTTGAGTGTCATGTGGGGCACGTCCTACAGGCGTGGGCCACGCGGCCAGGAGCAGCAGCCGTCGGCCGCATCAGGCGAGGCGTAGGTTGGGCAGGAGTCCTGGTCCTGATACATTAGTTCCTAGAATAAAAGACTAGTTTGTTACGTATAGGTTTCTAGTTTGTTAGCAGCCCATGGGGCCTTTATATATCGTATAATCAGCACCCTTTGAGGGCAAGCAATAAAGTTATTATCTCCTACCTCTTCCTCCGTCTCCTATCCTCTCCTCCCGCACCATTGAGCAGCCAGGCAAAAACCCTAGCGCTCCTATCCACCGAGACTACGAACTACGTAGTCGAGGCCCCGCTGTCTTGGGCACTGAGGCCCTTGACAACTTGGTATCAGGTTCCAGCCGCTCCTCGGCCTCCTCCACGCTGCACCCGCCGCCCCGCCCACCTCCATCGCCGCCATCCGCCGCCGCCTCGGTTTCTTCCGCCATGTCGGAACCCACCACCGCTGATTTGGCCAAGATGATCGAAGCCCTGACTGCAACCGTGACATCCCTGCAGTCGTCCGTGGCAGCCCTCCAGAAGGAGAAGTCGGCCTCCTCGTCAGCCGCCGATATCAGCCACGACGGACAGCACCACAACGATCGGCCCCCGCGGTTTCAGAAGATGGACTTCCCCAAGTTCGACGGCAAGTCCGACCCGCTCGCTTTCCTCAACAGATGCGAGTCCTTCTTCCATCAACAACGGATCGCCGAGGAGGAGAAAGTCTGGATGGCGTCATACAACCTCGAGGGTTCTGCCCAGCTGTGGTACATGCAGGTCCAGCGTGACGAGGGCACTCCGCCGTGGCGCCGCTTTTCCGAGCTGCTCACCCTCCGCTTCGGGCCTCCTCTGCGCGCGAACCCGCTGGGCGAACTGATGGCGTGCAAGCGCACGACGTCCGTCGTCGACTTCCAGGAGCGGTTTGAGGCGCTCCTTCCCCGGGCAGGCTCCTTGTCGGAAACGCAGAAAGTTCAGATCTTCACCGCAGGCCTCCAGCCACCCCTTAGCCTCGACGTGGAAATCCATAACCCGCAGTCCCTCGCCGTCGCCATGAGCCTCGCCCGCAAATTGGAGCTGCGCGACCAGTGCGCGCTTTCCGCCGCGCCACCAGTGCGTTTTCCGCAGAAGGGCATTCTGCCGACGCCAGGACCACGCCTCGCGCCCCCCGCACCGGCCCCACCAGCCGCACCCCAGCATGGCCACAGTCTGCCGGATGGGCGCCCAATCAAACATCTCTCCCAGACAGAGATGGAGGAACGCCGTCGCCTGGGCCTATGCTTCAACTGTACCGAGAAGTTTGGCATGGGCCACAACCGCGTGTGCCAGCGCATCTTTCTCCTCGACTTAGCGCCGGACGACGACAACGACGACGCGGCCTCCGCTACTGATGATGCATCGCGGGCCGACCCTCAGATCTCGCTCCACGCAATCTCCGGGGTGCGCACGAGCGAAACCATGCAGATGCATATTACTCTCGGGGGTGTCTCCCTCCTCGCCCTGATCGACTCAGGCTCCACCCACAACTTCATCGCCGAGGAGGCGGCCGCTCGTGCTACGCTGCCATCCCCCACCACCGAGAAGATGCGCGTCACGGTGGCCAACGGCGAGCGCGTTCCGTGCCAGGGCGCGTACCGCGTCGTGCCCTTCCGCATCGGCCAAGAGGAGTTCTCGGAGGATTTCCTCGCCTTGCCGCTCGCGGGCTACGACATCGTCCTGGGCACGCAGTGGCTGGCGACGCTCGGACCGATCCTGTGGGATTTCCGCTCCCTCTCCATGACATTCTGGCGGAGGGGCCATCGGGTGTGCTGGCGCGACATTGCAGGACCGGACGGGCCAGCCCTGAAATCATGCAGCGGCCGCGACTTCCTCGACGCCATCATCACCGAGTTCGACGGCATCTTCGCCGAACCCTCCGGCGTGCCACCGCCCCGCAGCCGCGACCACGGCATCACCCTGCTGCCC